GTAAAATAATGAAATGGTTATAATGAATTTAAGGTTAATGAATGAATTTAAAGTTAATAATGAATTTAAGGTTATAATTCAATTTTGCTCGATTTATATATTTATTTCTAAGTATAATTAGTAAATTAATTACATTAATCAATTATTATTTTATCTTAGTGTCAGATAGAAGTTGGATACTGGTACAGTTAATATGGATGTTGGAAAAATTAGCTACTTAAAAGTTTTATTTATAATATTATGAATACCCCTAGTATGGGAGAAATTTAGAAAAATGTTTGTTTTCAATCTCAGGGTGAAAACAGAAAACATTCAACTAAAGCAACTCAGAGACTTATAAGTTTCATAAAATTTTGCGAGAGCTGGAGTTAGAAGATGAAAATTTCTCCGAGTCCAGAAAGTTCCTAAATTATTAGAATCAAGCCTTTTCACATTTTTCGGCGTATATTTTGTTTGAAGGGGAGGGATCTTTTATTTATTATTTTTATTTTTTTGGCCTTCTGTACTTTTTTTGACAACACGTGACTGTGCTTTTTAATTGAAATAAAAAATTGAGAAATATTTATTTGCATTATATGGCATTCATATGATTTCTTTAATTGCGGTTTATAAAATCATTCCGAGCAATAAAGACATATCCCGACTTAAAAAAAACTGTGCCTCCATTTTTATACTCTCAATTATTAATTTTATGTAGTTTTATCTATTTGGGAAATTAGCAGAGAGATCAAGGCCTCTAAAGACAGCTCTGTTTCGTCGATTTGATATTTTGCTTTTTTCGTCGTATCTCGATAAAGTTCTACAAATAATTTCATTTGCTTAGTTGAAGATATCGTTGTTTATCACTCGAATGTGAAAATCTATAAACCTATCTTAATATTATACTCAGGACTAAATATTTTAAATTAGAAATGGCAGAATTCTATGGAATGCCGACAAAAACGGGAACAAACGTTAATGAATAAAATAATGGATAAGGCAATAAATAATGAATGAGTAAATAAAACATAAATGGATAAAATTGTTAAATTAATAATTAAACAAATAATGAATCAATATATCATAAAAATTAGATTAAAATGAATAAATGGAAATAAACTGAAAACAAATAAATATAAGACAAGTTCATAATTAAAAGGCCCTTTCCCCCCCTCCAAATAGCAAAATGCTTACTTTTTATGCATTAAGAATAGATTACCGAGGACGCTTCATACGGTACTCCGCTAGGGGTGGCCTAATATTACGCTCGCGGGAAGCTGAAAGAGCACTTGAACGGTGTCGTCGCATATGCGGTCAAGAAGGTTAGAATAACATTAATTACGAAGGGGAAAGTAAAGGGATGTGTTAGAGGTCATAAGGGGAGATATAAATGTGAAAGAAAGTTATTAGTAATAAAATATAGAGCTACTGACAGAGCTCTCATTTATTCTTTATTGTAATTCCTTACTATTACCAAAATGTATACATGGATGTGTATGATACCAAAATGAAGACGAGTTTTATAGGCTACGAGAAGTTCCCCTTTTTATTTTACATATTATTAAACAGTTTAATAATATTAATATACAAATTTTCGGATTATTATACTGGATTATTATTTGAATTATCACATGATTTTACTGGATCATATCTATGTGTTTATTAACATTTGATGATTACATTATTTTTGTCTAGGTACTTCCTTTTCTTTTTCCTTGAATTAACATATACAGAGTGTTCCCAAATTCAACAGACAAATTCAGACGGGTGATAATAAGCATCAGGAAGATGAAAAATAAATTAAACATTGATTAACATTTCCTATAACTACCTTTTAATTAACTCGCGAGCGCCGGCGCTGGGTCCAACGGACCAGCGTGTTTAAGCAAACCTTTCTCGAAGCATGGCCTATTTTTTCACTCAAGTTGTTGAGGTTCAGTGTAGTCGTGTTCGAGATCGACCTCTATGTTTCCGAAGTTTTTTCGCTGGAGCTTTGATTCGAATGTTTGATTTTGATCGGATCGGGTCGGGTTTTTTAGAGCCAGCGCGCCTATTCGTAATACTATTACATAGTTGATTTGTGACGGTATAGAAAGAGTAAAACATGTCGCGTAATTTATTTTACAAGGAAGAAATGTTGCAAAAGTTATTAGATGCATCAACTGGCTAAGAATGTATTGAAGAAAAGGAGGATGGAAATGAATAATGAATTTTTATTTCACACGATACTGATTCAGAAACTGTTACAGATTCTGAAAACGAAAGTGAGAATGACAAAAAATTGTTTTATTGTAAGAAACTATCGGAACCAAGGGGGAGAAAGAAAAAAAGGGGAAGATGCAGTGTTTGCCCAGCGAAAACGAAAACGCGCTGTGCCGAATGTGAAAAATATTTGTATTTGGAACACACGATAACACTTTATTCAATGCGCTGCTAAAATTTGTTACATTTGTTTCTCTGTGTCTATAATATTAATAAAGATACAGAGTAAAGAAATTTTTTTTCTTATGCTAATATACAGTACGATTTTCTAAACCTTTAAAGAATTTTATTTCATAAAAGCATTTGGAAAAATTAAAAATTTTAATAATTGCGTATTAAGTTTAATCATAAAATATATTATTGGGGCAGATGTAACACGTTTTCTGAAGATTCACAATTTTTTCTTCAAAAAACACAAATCGGATCTTTTGGGACCCAGTGCGCGCGCTCGTGTGCTGCTACTTATGCTCACTTGTCTGACTTACTCAGCCCAAGAGCCCACGAAATTCCTCGTGGCAAGGAGCGATAGATTATGCCTGCCGTTGGCAACAGCTTGAGCACCATTCAGGTGATAATGCGATTTAGCTCAGTTCCCCCGTCCCCCAATTTTGATGGAGAGCACTCCGGGGGGGACGGGTCTGAGGGTCTCCCACCCCTCTTCCCTTCCACTAAACCACACGACAGGACTTTCGGCTCGCCACATATTTAGAGTGCCGTCATGCCGCACCTACACTATACATTTACAAACATCTCTGCCTTCTCCGGGATTCGAACCCGGTCCTTTCGTCACGGCAGTCAGCAACGCTAACCACTATACCGGTTGGGCGGCACGCTCGTGTAACTCATATGAGCGCGCGTGTTGCCGTGTTAAGGCTTCCTTATCAGCAACCCTCTTAATTTTGAAAACTTTTAGTCCAAGATATGAGCATAATGTTAATCTACCTTTAAACAATGGGATTTTTTGAAGCACTGTGACGTGACAATGCGTAATAATTTTAGCATCACTAAGAATCATTTTCTGGATTCTCATATTGATTTTTTCCCCAAGAGATGTTAAAAGTTGCAAGTGACGAGTACGAGTAATCCATAAGTATAACGTAAGAAGAAACTCCCTCCAAGAAGAAAAAATGCTAATCGACTGCTATTGAACCTTATAGAGGGGTGTATTAGACGGGAAAATGACAATTCCCCTGCGCCAATGGCAGATTGTAAACAGTTACAATTTTGTAACACAGTCCATTAATCTATACTAAGGCCCGGTTTCTTTATTATGAAGCATCTAATAGGTGGGCCACCATTGCCTCCTATGAAGGGGACGGACAGTTACAATCATGACTTCTGCGGGATTCGAAGTCAGGTCCTTAGGTATCGCAGTCAGGCTTCCCTAATAACTATACAGTCTGGGCGGCGAAAATGACAATTAAAATCGATTAAAATTGCATTTTCAGGTAGTTATTAATAACTAACGGATTTGAATATTTGTGAAAATAATTACAATTGCGAAAACAGAAAAAGTTTTTAATGCTTCCTTTCTTAGAGGAAGCCTATGAATTCATTTTGACCCAAGGAAAACTGAAATTGATTAGCTAAATTGATCTGTCTTCTATCAAGCACCTTAGTTCAGTGATCTGTATTAATGTGCCAATTTTATTTTTTTTAATTTAAAATGCTTCAAGAATGTTTAGAAAAGACAATTTCTTTTTTACATTTACATTCTTCATTTATAAGACTGCATTATCAGCTATATAATTCATACGAAATTATTCTATAAATATAATTCAGTACAGAAAAAATAAGATGGGAAAACGGCTTGGAAATAGAAACAGCACCGATGTTCTCTTTAAGAAATATGACGAAGCTTATAAAAATCTAGGAAGCAAAATAATTCCTTAGAATATACATTACAAAACATTAAAAATGGAGACTGCGTTATTCGGAGTTGTGGCAAAATGTGGGAGCCGTTTAAGCATCTAACTTCTCTGCATTCAGTTTTATAGAGAGGAAAATATACGAAATTTGAATTCTTTGACTGAATGCAGTTTTGTACCGTGAAAATGGATTATTGAAAGACAAATTGCAAGTCAAATGCATCTTTTTTTAAAGGATCCTGTAATTCTTTATCATTAAATTGCATTCAATTACTTTTTATCAACAACATGCAAATATAATTTAATGATATGCATACATATATACGCACATATAACACACAAATTCATTCATATGTTCCGAATTAAAACAATTAAATATTTATACGGTATTCGAAGGTTAGCCAAAAAATAATGTAATTTAAAAAGCGGCTGTTAGACGTGAAAAGGTTGGAAGCCATTTTAGTTAAGACTATTTCTCAGATACTTCGTATTCATATAACATAACATTCGAAATATAAAACGCAATATTTCAAATACAAAATCATTGATGTAACAAATATTATTTTCTACTCCTACACCTTTAATAAAAATGCATTTGACTTGCAGTTATTCTTTCAATAATCCATTTTCATGGTACAAAACTGCATTCAGTCAAAGAATTCAAATTTTGTATATTTCCCTCTCTATAAACTGAAGGTGAATAAAAAAATTATTTCGGCACTGAACGGGTATTAGATGATACTGTGAATTTGCTTCGGAGAATAAAATTAACAACTTTCTTTTCGAGGAGCGTCACCCAAGAAACTAAAAAGAATGCTACCATAAATAAGGGCTATTCAAAAAAATATATCTCTCAACTCAAAAACGAACAAACAAAAGAAACAAAAATACTTTTGGCTTTATGGATGACAACAGGTAGAGGCTTGTAATTATGGGCTCCATATTTAAGTTCTCTCTCTATACATTCTTGTGAACTGAGATTATATAAAGGAACTTGTACGTTTTTCTTTGCAACAGATGTCTTGAATGTTCGAGTTGCAGCTTTCAGCACAGATTTAGCTTGCATGGTCAATTTCCGTGTTGTCTGTGGTTGCAACATGATCGGATGAATATGCTAGAAAAAGATAAATCAATAAAATCAAATCAATAATCATATCTTAATCATATATCGGAAGTTACTTATTCTAAGTTTCTTTTGTTAGACTTCGTTATAATAGAAAGTGAAATTTAATTACATTATGCTAAGCCAATATCATTAAAGTTTTCACTGCGAATCAGTCTTTGACAGTATGAAAAATGTACAATTATTTTTAAATGATGAAACAAAGTTAATTTTGCAAGCTTTATTTGCAGATTAAGTTCATCCTCAGCGCTTAGTTAATTTGTTGTTCGCACCTGATCTAAGAGATGCCAAAATCCAAAAGCGGAAAAGTCATGCAAGATTTAATCGCTTTCTTTCTGGAAGCTTTAAAATAAAAGCAGGGACATCTCGGATCGCAAACATCTCAACGGTAACAAATGATAAACGATGCTTTGAATTGGAGATAAAGAACGCTCAAGTTAGCGATAAAGAATTTTCAGATGTTGTTTGAGGTAAATCATGACGCAGAATTCCTAATCTAGGATTTCTGGAATCATTTTAATATTTTCCGCTACTTAAATTTCATCAACAAAACCTGGTAGCAAAGGACTCACAGGACCGTGAATTCTTGATCAAATTTCATGAGGCAAATTATGGTCAGATTATGTTGAAGGCAGAGATTCTGAGCGCTTCGACAATGAGAACTTATGTTTTGTTTCCTACGATATTTAGCTTTAGGCAAACCAATGGCTTCGAAGTTAACAACAAAGATGTGAAGTAGTTAAAAAATTAAAATATTAAAGTAACATTAAACATTAAAGTAACATTAAAATGAGTTCAACAAGAAAGAATTGAAACAACAAAAAGGAAACTATAAAACAATTCCTTCACAGAAAGTTAAGACTATCCTAGTTCTTTGATGCCTGATATGTGCACAAAATAGGTATGGTACAAAGTTTTCTTGTAACCATATCAAACTGACAGAGCAATAGCAAAGCTGTAGCAGAAAGCATTTTCAATGCCAGTGCCAGTCTCACTTTAGACACATTTTCAAACCTAGACAACAACAAATCACATTGGACAAATTCTGAGTAAAGCTGAATGTCCAGAGAGTATGAATGATCGGGGCACTAAAAGATTGAGAAAAAAATGTGCTACAGGCCTTATAGTAAACCTGATGTTTTACTATAAGGGCCATTCCTCATCTAAACACTAACATCTCTTCCTCATCTAAACACTAACATCTCTTCCTCATCACTTTCTACTTACGCCGTCCACTCTCCATCGTACAATTACGGTTAACACGTTGAGCGCGGTGCTGGTCCTTGGGGACCGGCAGTGAACTTTCCGTGTGTCCGGCGTCGGTTTCTGGGGACCGGCACTGGAATTTTCGTTTGGCTGGCGTCGGTATGCTGGACCGACAATATTAAAGTTAAAAAATATAGTCTCAATGAAATGTGATCAAATTTTTAATGAAATTTTTAAGTTTTAATGAAATGTATTGAAACATTCTAAACAAAAATACGGCTTAGCTTTACGCCTTAAGCTCGCTGCCGGCTGAACGGAAAGGACAGCAAATTCGGCGCCGCGCTCAACGTGTTAAAACTAAATTTTCGTATTTGATCAGTTTAATATCGTGTTTATCTTTGTTGTCTTATCTTTAGTGATTTGGTGCTTCAGATTTTACCCATCCGGAGGTGAATCAGTAGACGTCCTAATACTCCATCAATGTAACAGCACTTTAACAGTTTCTCGTACATGTGAGGCGCTTATTCACTCCATATAGATAGATAGGTAGCGGGTTGAAGCGTTATCTATTTTGCAAATGGCCATATTTTTGTGCCTCACTTTCTCCTGTTCTAAATTTGGATATTTCCATCGATTTTGATTAATAAACTCTTGAACAAAGTACTATTGTAAATCATCTGTGTTCAGAAAGAATTTAAGATTAATTTCCATGGAGAAAATAATTTCAGTTTACGAACAGCTTTCAATCAAGAACGAATTAGATTCATGAACCGAGATTTCTCCTTATTTTATTAAAAATGCAGAGTGTCGTTTAGTTCCTCTTCTATAACGTAATTAGTAGAGCTTTTGATTTTATCTAAAAATGCTAGGACTATCTCAAATATTTTTACAAACATTTTAGTTTCGAAGGAGCAAGCAGGCGTTAAAATAAACCCTAAGCAATGCTATTAAATCATCTAAAACATAATATGGTTTCTTATAGCTTAGTTTTAGAACAGAAAAAAATTCAACTTCTAGGTATATTTACCGCTACTGTTTACAATGTTTTTCCTCTTAATTCAGAATTTTCAATAACTTTATAACCGAAACTCACGTCTTGGTGTAAAAAAAGAACGAAACTCTCTTCGGAGATTATATTACAAACTAAAATATTTTCCCTTAACCTAATTTTGCAAGCCTTTTAAAAAGCATCTGATAATGGCCAATTGGAAGATTTTGGTGGTTGAATAAAAATATCTATAAAATTATCTTAATTTTTAGAGCGATTCTCGAGTAGTGTTAGATTTTACTTTATCATAATGAAAAAACACTCCCCTTTATGTTAGCTACTGCATGCGAAACCAGTTTTTCCCATTATATCTCTTTAAAGTTCTTCGGATAATATGCCATATTCCACTAAATACACGGTACATTAGCTTCTTTAAGTGGAAAGTTTTCAGTATTGTAGTTTGTTGGTTTGATTTGGTTTATTTTATTACTGCAAAGCACTCGAAAGCTATCTACCTAAGGCCGAAACAACTTTGTGGAGGACTTTAAGGGAAACTGACTTGTATACACAAGCCACGAAAACGCCCATGCAGACAGACCGTTCGCCTGGAGTCAAACTCAGGTCGAACTACCAGTGCTCAGTCACTTTAATGCTCGGCCGTTGGTAGCCCGTATTATAGTTGGTATACATCTTTTTCAACGCACTACCTTTTTTTTATCATTATTATTCTCTGTAATATTACAGATGTTTAGTCACTGGAGACCATTCGATTTAGAATTTATTCCTTTTCTAACGTAGCGTTTTTTGAGAGCAAATTTCTATTCGTTGTTTCAACTTTATGTCCGATAATTTGTGCAGATTAAATTATCAAACTACTTTGAAAAGTTTTTGCATGACTTTTAATTATAAATATGTTGCGAAATAAATTGATTGTAGCTTAGTTGCGTTCTTAAGCACATATTTTGCTACATCAGTGCTTAAAGAAAGACCCATTATGTAAACGTAATAAAGAATACATATTCGCAACTGAAACACTGTCGATTCAGCATATAAATAACAAAAGCTTACCGCTTAAATACAGTCAAGTAATTAAACCACGCAGAATACTTTGTATAAAGAAATACACAAAGCTGACAATTCGAGGCCCACCGAATTCTTTAAATTTTGAAATAACTATTTTGTTAATTTGGCGTCACTCTCCGGTTATGTTACAAGAAACAAACCTTTTAGCCATTTTTCTATGCAAGTTATACTTGATAAATGGAATCTATTATTGCAGTTATATAATAAAATATAACACTTCAGTCACTAGAAGCATAATCATAATAATATACTCAAATAAAAACAACTTTTGATGATACTTTGTAATTTGGTTCTATAATTCTAGAACTACTTGATTCATTTAAAGACTTCCCTTAGATGAAAGGTCTTTTAAAATCTAACTGAAGTGCTTCATTTATTACTCCAAGGCATGAGCATCTTTTGTAGGTATGGACCTTCAGCGGCCGAGTCTTAAAGCCTCTTAACACTGGTAGTTTCGACCTGGGTTCGAATCCAGGCGAACGGGCTGGCTGCATGGGCGTTTTCGTGGTTTTCCTCGTGTGTAATGTATTATATGAGCAAGTTTCCCTCCCACGAAGACATCCCTGCCCTTAAGCTGATAGGTAATCTCCATAAACAAACAAACTTTTGTAGGTATGATTAGATTTTGCCTTCCCAGTTGGAAATTGAAATTCTTTTTTCTTTTCCTATTTCTTGGTGCATTTTACTTTCGTATTTCTTGATAACATAGCTTCTTTTATAGAAATAATGGCTAATCTTTGGAATATGGTAACATGTAGTTTGGCGACATTTTGGTAAGGCGATAAAGGTTACTAGCTAGAACTTTAGTACATGAATATAGTCAAGAGCGTGCGCAATGCCATTTTTGTGCAATTCTGGGATTTTTTTTAAGTGAAAATAGGTCGACGTGTACATAGATGATACCGTGTATGTGCAATTCGTAAAAACGCGGCAAGCAATGGGCGATTATGCACTTTGTCCCAATTTCACACCTAACCTTCGTCATGATTAAGCACTTTTGTTCCATAAAAGTGCTAGCATAAGCGTAATTTGGCTAGCAGATTGTTGGAAAAAAATGTTGAGTGTTGAGTAAAAAAAAAAAAAAAAAAAAAAAAAAAAAAAAAAAAAAAAAAAAAAAAAAAAAAAAAACGAGTGCCTCTAATTTGTGAAACCAAAATGGCGTCCAAACAAAAACTAGCAGATTGCTGTAGCAGGGTTGGTCGCCAAATTTTCACCAAAGAATCGCCAAGTTACCATAATCCAAAAATTAACCGAAATAATTCCGAGCGATACTGCTTGTTTTCTAACGGAGAACTCAACATACTGTAAGTCATACCTAATACAATAATTTATCAAAATTTTACTTTGACGAGCAGTTGTAATTTATACAGAATATTGAAAAAAGCTAGAAAAATTCCAATTCGTGAAACATTTGTATTCTCAATCTGCAGGTAATGACTGCATCAGACTCTTTGAAAGAGTCATGCAAAGTACGTAAATAACTTTTATGACCAACCCTTATAGTACAGGATGTTATGATTTAATTTATTTATTTATTATTTTACCAAAGTTCTTTGCATAAGATCGTAGGCTGATAATAAGTGTTCTTAAAGCAAACGAATTAAGTCATTTCAGAAGAAGGGGAAAAAAAGATGTTTTTCTGTATATAGAGGGAATGTAAAAAAAACATGCTTGACACGTCTTATGTTTCTTTCCTTTCGAAAGCTGACGGGGGGGGGAAGAAATGGAAGGAGCATTACTCCTTGCATTATAGCTTCTCTTCTAAACAGATTCAAACTGGAAATTTTAAGTACTAACCAGTTTTTAAGGGAAGACTTCTGGGAGTTCCAGTTAGCAATCAGTCATGAGTTTAAAATTCATTCAGTTCTAAAACTATAATATTTTCATGTTCATATTGATTAGCCCTATAAAATGCTTCAACGGATGTCAATCTATTTATCGGAAGGAAGTTTGATTTCATAATCTCAGAAATATGGCAGAAAAT